TGCAAACAGTACTTGCGGTTTGTTTGTTTTCTTTGTGCTGACCATAACACTTACAACTTTTGACTTAAGTCTTGTATCAAAAATCTTAGTAGGGCATAGTGAGCATGCTACATGTATAATCCTGGTCCAAAAACATATTTACTTGCAGAGTTATACATTTTGTATTCATCTTATTTTTGTCCCAGCAACACATTCTATGATTTTTGTAATTAGGGCATTCTTTCATCATGGATTGACACATACTATTAAGTTCCGTACTTGCAGAGTTTTGCCCTTTGTTCAGCTTCTTTGTGGAACTGGAATGTCTATTTTTTTTTTAACTTGGCACCACATAACTGAATAAACATACACATCTTGGTATGGCGGAGTGTCACATATTGTATTTAGGGCCTTCAGCCCTTTACTTGCAGAGTTATGCCCAGACTTTACCTTTAACAAGTTGGAAACAGCAAACCTTTTTAGGCATATACATCATGACAAAACGAATTGTAACCTACATATTTCAAGGAACGAAGCACGAAATCAAGGGCCTCTGATTTTTGTTTTTGCAGGCCACAACTCCAACGTTTTGCGACTTAATGTCGCATGCATTCCCTTTATGTAGATTTTGGCCCTTTGTTGTCTGGCCAAGATAAGCAATAACTATTCTGTGTTTGACCATGTACTAGATCAAAGGTATCGTTTATAAAAAATGCATCATAGTAGAATGAATCTTTAGAAATTCAGTTTTGGCGATTGATGCGATTGCCAAATCGCAAAAATCAATGCTTCGGCTAATTTTTCTGCTATACTTTATCTCAGCTGCTTTCACATGAAATGGCACCAAACTGCTTTTTATGAAGGTCATGTGAAGGTGGTGACTCACATCCTAAAAGAAGGTCACTGTGACCCCAATTTGACCTTAGACTTGATTACTGAAATAATGGTTTCCAGACCATATCTTAGTTGCTGTTTCATAAATGGGCATCAAACATTTTATTTATGTACATCATGAAAAGGCGGGGTGTCACATTCTAAAACAAGGTAACTGGTTTTAATATGACTTTCACCTCCCGTACGAAAAATAATGAGTTTTATAGCATATATATTAATCTCAGCAACTGCTCCATACATGGGAATCTAACTTTGTGTATATGCACATTATGAGAGGGTGGTGTATGGGATCCCAAAGGCAAGGTTACTGTGACCTCAATTTCACCCTTGAACTTGAACTCGAGTACTGACATAATGGTTTCCAGCAATTATTTTCCGACTGTTTGATGAATTGCCTTCAAACCGTTTATATAGGAACATCAAAGGAGGGTGGCATGTCCATCCTAAATTGAGGTCACTGTGATATCAAGTACTGAAATAATGGTTTCAGTGAAGCATATCTCAGCTGTTGTTGATAGGTCGATTTGACTTTTGACTTCGATCTCAAATACTGAATAAGTTCTTTAATTTATGTTTGCTGGACATGGAAAGACATGAAATGCACTAGTGCAACTATGATTGTTTGTGGACCTGTTGACCCATTGAGATTTATAACATGTAAAGAGTAGAGATACCAATGCTATACAATACAATTGCTGGGTTAAACCAGCTGACACATATGCTACCACAATGGCCTCAGGTTTCAGCTCCTGATCATGGGGATTTAGTCTAGCATCATGAAATTGAAATAGTTGAAATTGTAACTCAATAATTAAACCTGACCATACTCCAGTCCTTGAAACAGAGGCGATGTTATTAAAATGCCTTTTTTCCGGACAATTCAATTCAACTTCAATACGCTTAAATTTATATTTAATGACAATGTAACATTATTGACAAAAGAAAACATAAACCTGTCTGCCTATTGTCTATATATGCATTTGTACATTCATTTTAATAAATAAATCCGTGTATTCATTTGGTTGGGTTTGCAACCGTGGAGAATATTACATATATAATGTTTCAGTTAGCTTGTAACAATAATAATAATAATTTGATGTTCTTATATACCGTTTTATAACAACCTAGTTCGTAGGCCGTCTCAAAGCGGTTTCCAAATTATTATCCGTAGTTATAGGGCCTTTGCAACCAGCCAATATCTTTCTCAACTTCCTTGGGAGCATACAGCCACTGCTGCCGTTTCGGCACTAACAGCTAGCATTCAACAATCATTTACAGCTGAGTAGACTGAAACAAGCGGAGTAAAGCATCTTCCTCAAAGATATAACACAGTTCCATGCCGTGACTCGAATCCACAACCCTTCGGTCACGAGCCCGGCGTCCTACCACAAGACTACTGTGTCTTCATATATATCATACACATATTGATAAATAATGAGGCCTTCAACAACTTGCAACTGTTGCTCAAAGCAGCGATGAGAACTTCACAATTGTAAATCATGGAGAACAGGAAGTTGGTGGTTATCATCGTAATTGTATTTGCATGTTGTTTGTTTTTATGGGGGTTTTTTTGGTAACGAAAAGAGCTTAAGTCATAGGTTATTCAGTTGATTGGTTAATGAGTCTTTTTGAAGATTTCGTCTAAAGAGCGCTATCCCCTAAAATACAGACCCCCCCCCCATAAAATATCCAGAACTGGTGTCGTTTTCGTCATAGAAAATATGGTTTCCCGCTACACCATAATTTAATATATACTGCGACGAGGAAGATGTTCCATTGTCCAAAAAACTCGATAGTGAAGTGAATTAATGAACAGTTAATCGGGCTTCCCTGGAGGCATTTTTTATTATCTACATGAAGTAGGATTTTTTGTTTTTTAAACATGTACCTTTGAAGCTTTGAAAATAGACAATATAGTTCTGAAATATCAGGAATGTATATGTATGTTTGATCAATACGAATTCATACTGCATCTAATTTTCAGAGACGTAACACCTTTTTATCAGATATTGATTAAATGATACATATGAAATTATGATAGTTCTCAAGATTATTTCAGGAAACATTGTGAAGTTTTGAAATGAAATAACTCACCATCTGTAACGTTCCCTTTTTTGATAATAACAACCATGCACCCATATCTTAAGGTGTATGTCGCAGTTGATTCCATATCAAATGACTTATTCCAAAAAATCCGGATTTGCGTGATAGATGTCGACTGCTTACGGACAAATTTACAACACAGAATTTTCGACAGATGCAGGTTGTTGAAGAGATTGGCAGGTTTTATGGTAGTCATCGTTATTTCATTGGGAAAATATTCTCTTTTTTTTGCGCGATATGATGGTCAAAGTAATTGATTAAATTCAGACGTGTCCGTTGTTGTTTTGGTGTCACTACCTCACATATAACTTTTATGAAATGTCATTACTTAGATAGGACCTAGATTTACCTTGCAGGTGTCGTTAATGAAGCACCTTGCCTTCCACTCCTAGAAGGTTTTGAACGGGTTTCATGTAACATTTTTCTTTGTCCATATTCCCCCAAGGTTTATCAACCTTAATGTGATCTTCAATATTCACCGCTTTCAAATGTGCTATTTAATCTGTGCTTTCATTTGTATTAAAACAAAAATCGCTGCAGATAAATATAACACATGTATTAAAATGGGTTTTTTTTATCACTGAGAATTTACTTTAATGTTATGTGGAAACAACATGTTACTGACAGGTATCAACGAAAAATACACATAATGAACTTGTCTTTGTTTGCTTACCGCTCATTACGTCTGGCTTCCATTTTGATTGAGAGATGAGCAAAGACGAAAAGGCGAACACTTTGCCGTCATAAACAATTGTGCAAGATACGTTTCCGTACGGAAAATTGCAAATCGAGGCAAATTGAATATGTATCTGAACATGTAAGACAATATATCTCGTTAGATGGGCTGCAAATATTTGTTTACAAACCTTTTTACATCACATGATAACAAAGGTTCATTAGTCAATCTAATTTTGTCATGATACATCATGAACTAGAAATTCATTGGTTTCTTGTGAATGTGAGCTTTTACTTTATTCAAAAAAGTCTGAATGAAATATTTTCCTTAATAAAAAGAATCTTTCATAAAATGTCTGAAAGAGTCATTTACACAAAGTCCGAAATCGTTCAAGTATATGGACTTTTTTCCACGTTGCACAAGTGTGACGTAAACTATTATTCCAATTCGAAGAATCAACACATAAAACTCGCTATGGAGTCTAAGGAGAATGGCAATGACCTGTGACTATTTTTGAGGCCAACAACAGCTACTACCGATCTGTTTTGAGAACCCAGATTGGACCAGTAGGTCTGCTGTATCTCACTACATGTCGTAAAAAGGTGTCTAAAGTAGCGTCCCATACATAATTGGGCGCTTCCTGGGGTGTCGTCTGCTAAGAGGACATGGAAGAAATCCCAATTGATCTGCTACACCCATTGCAAAATATAGAAGATTTACATTTTCTCGCTACGTCCTAAAAACCTTTTGTTTTCTAGTGCTTTGCTTGGTAATACCTCACTTTTGGCCTTGGTATTGAGCGTTTGCCTTAGTGAGGTAGGCAATGGGTTTTGTTGCTAGGGCAGGACATACCAAAGTCCTTTAAAAATGGTAGTTGTTAGTCCCTGCTTAACGTTCAGCATTTAAGGTTATCGCAATAACCGCAAGGAGGCAAAAACATCACTATTTACCTTGGCTCCAGCACATATACACACGATCACGAATACACTGCACACACGAAAGCACGGTTTTAAATGACCTTAGCTTTCAATAGGACGTTTAACCAAATCAAACAAAACAAAACTTGATTTGAACTTTTTTCATAGCTTACATGATATATCACTCACATGTTTATCATCGTCTGCTGGCGTTAAGTTCATTTTCAGTGTTGTAGCAGTTAACTGATATCAATTTCTGGACTTTGCAGAAGACAATAGAAACGATTTTCCCTTTTGTGTTACTTTGTTTTTCCTCTGTTTCCTAATGGTTTGTGGTGTCTTCATTTTATGTGTGTGTCTCCTCGCTATGGTATTGTTTATTTGTAAAAACTTTCAGTTTGTTTATAATCACAAAACAATATTTATGCAAATTCATATTTTATTACATCATATATAATATGTGTGTAATATCAAATACGCCGTAATTGGTCTTCATAGGTTTTGTCCTTGTTTCAGCTAGTCTGAAAAAGGAAAACAAAGCAAAAAGGAAATTACTTGGGATTCTATCATTAACAGACAAATAGTTCATTATGGTGAACACTTATCTACACAAAACCAAAAATATTTTCCTGAAATCAAAGAAATGATGATGGACTAGCATGCTGTTCAATAGTGATTTTCATGATTTTTAGATATTTAATTGATTATAAAGTAGAAAAATGTAAGTATGATGCTAATATGTAAAAGATTAAGAGCATACCAAAGCATTCGACGTAAGGATCACCAGAACATCCAGAATCGCACACGCACTTCTTTCCTACACGATAAGCTCGAACTCCACAGTAAATAGATTTGAAGTAAGTTAACACGATTATTTTATCGTTTGCCGATATCAAGTACGGGGCAACTAGATCTACCTTGCAAAAGTGCACCATTTCACCTACCATCTCCCTCACTGCTGCTGCTACCGTCTTCCTCACTGCTGTTGTTACCATCTTCCTCATTGCTGCTACTGCCATCTTCCTCACTGCTGTTGTTACCATCTTCCTCACTGCTGTTGTTACCATCTCCCTCACTGCTGTTGTTACCATCTCCCTCATTGCTGTTGCTACCATCTTCCTCATTGCTGGTGCTAGCATCTTCCTCATTGCTGTTACTTCCATCTTCCTCCTTGCTGTTACTACCATCTTCCTCATTGCTGTTGTTACCGTCTTCCTCACTGCTGTTGCTACCATCCTCCTCACTGCTGTTGCTATCATCTTCCTCATTGCTGTTGTTACCGTATTCCTCATTGCTGCTGTTATCGTCTTCCTCATTGCTGTTGCTACCATCTTCTTCATTGCTGTTGCTACCATCTTCCTCACTGCTGTTACTACCTTCCTCCTCATTGCTGTTGTTACCGTCTTCCTCATTGCTGTTACTACCATCCTCCTCATTGCTGTTGCTACCATCTTCCTCATTGCTGGTGCTAGCATCTTCCTCATTGCTGTTACTTCCATCTTCCTCCTTGCTGTTACTACCATCTTCCTTATTGCTGTTGTTACCGTCTTCCTCACTGCTGTTGCTACCATCCTCCTCACTGCTGTTGCTATCATCTTCCTCATTGCTGTTGTTACCGTCTTCCTCATTGCTGCTGTTACCGTCTTCCTCATTGCTGTTGCTACCATCTTCTTCATTGCTGTTGCTACCATCTTCCTCACTGCTGTTACTACCTTCCTCCTCATTGCTGTTGTTACCGTCTTCCTCATTGCTGTTACTACCATCCTCCTCATTGCTGTTGCTACCATCTTCCTCATTGCTGTTGCTACCATCTTCATCACTGCTGTTACTACCATCCTCCTCATTGCTGTTGTTACCGTCTTCCTCATTGCTGTTGCTACCATCTTCCTCATTGCTGGTGCTAGCATCTTCCTCATTGCTGTTGCTACCATCTTCCTCACTGCTGTTGTTACCGCCTTCCTCATTGCTGTTGTTACCGTCTTCCTCATTGCTGTTGTTACCATCTTCCTCACTGCTGCTGCTACTTTCTTCCTCATTGCTGCTGCTACCGTCTCCTTCACTGATGCTACTGTCATCTCCATTAGTTTCTTCATTTGTTGTTGGTACTATGGTAATGAAGAAGCAATATCAGTAAAATATTCAAAAGCCACTCTTAAATATTTCAGATCCGACAATTGATGAAAACGTTGAATTACAACCAACAGGTGACATATTTCTAGTAATGCAAAACTATTCAACCGCTGATTAAGAACAATCGATTTACTGAACAATTTTTATTTCAAAATGTATTTGTTTTGGATTTTGTACATCCTTTGCCTGAAGATGTTTATGGAAACAGTCCTGATTAAACATGCCGGTGCATGGTATGCTGTTACCGTATTGATGTTATGGAACTAATATTTCAGCCGATGCGTGTGCATTATCTGTGTAAACACACTGATTATTTAGCTCAACAACATTATTGGTAATGTTAATATTCCTTAACAATCCATTATTATATCTATCTGAGTAATGAACATAAACCAGTATACAGGAAAAAAATATTATAAGAAACCAAATGCTTTCACAGTAAAAGACTCTATAATTATATGTTATCAGTTATGATATGTTAGGAGGCACGTGAGTCTAGTGCCTAGGACGCCGGGCTCGTGACCGAAGGGTTGCGAGTTCGAGTCACGGCACGGCACTGTGTTGTATCTTTGAGCAAGATACTTAATTTCGCTTGTTCCAGTCTACTCAGCTGTAAATGAGTACGTGGTTGGGCAGTGTTAGAATTGTTGAATGCTAGCTGTTAGCGCCGAAATGGCAGCTCCGGCTGTATGCTCCCCAGGGAGTTGAGAAAGGTATTGGCTGGTTGTAAAGGCCCTATAACCACGGATAATAATTTGTGAACCGCTTTGAGACGACCTAGGAACTAGGTTGTGATACAGCGGTATATAAGAACCTCGAATTATTATCATTATTATTATTGTTATTATGATATACGTCTGATATGTGAATGAGATTAATTGATTTAAAATCAGTTTAGGACATAACGTACACCGTGATACATAATGCTGTTACAAATGGAAACAGCTTTCATCCGTTAACACTAAAAGAAATTTAAAACATCGGAATGTTTTTCAAAAATTTCGAAACACCCACCAATGAATTCAGTGTACCCAATTTCCCCTACAAACCAATTTTCAACAAAATCCTACTACATCTAAATTTCGACCAATTAAATGAATGTTTAGTAACAGCATCAACTAGAAAGCACTTACTGCATCCTGTCTCCACAGATCCTCCACATCCTTCATCACAGACACATTTACTCAAGTCAATATCCCAGTGCGCATAGCTCCCGCATGGAAATGCATCTGTAATGGCCGACCGTGCACATGTTTACCAGAGCAAGCATTTAATTGCAGGTCTTTTTATATCATTGTCATTATTCAAGAATATTTTAATTTGTTTGTGCTTTAGTTTTTATTACAATATATATCGAAATTCCATAGACTTTGTTAATTGCTAATAGACAGATAATTGTACGCTATATATCGCTTTTATATTATATATAAAAAGGATATAACGTTTGAAATCGGTTTAATGCGGTCTTTTTCAAAACCAATATGCATTGATTGTAATTTAAATGTTTTAGAATACGGAGTTTTGGGAATATAATGTTAAAAGCTTACTTAAACTATTATGTCTATCTCGAGGGGTGCTTAAACTGCAGAATCGATCAAAATAAAAGCTGTATCTGTCAGTACTAACATCAATACACACGACAAATTTGGATCACCAAATATATATCACCGCTGTTATACTAAAGTGACGGCTGGAATTTAATGTAACGTTATAATGAGATGAATAAAAAAATAAACAAATGAATCAATTAAAAAACTAGACTACTTCAACATTTAATGGCAATTACATTTTCACAAAAGCTAAGGCTACCCACAGAAGACTCTGCCACATAAGGACTTCAGGACCATTTGTAAGTGATGTCTCCCCGCCAGACACCCAAAGGTACTTTGAACAGAAACATACGGCGGTAAATATTGGGAGAATTTGATGAATACATACCTCGTCTCTCTCGGGGAGCACATTCTACAGCTGAAATATGAAATTATGAGGTAAAGAACGTGTTTAGAGTATAATGTACAATATGAATTTTCGATAGACAACGATAGACTGGGTTGATTTAAGCTATAAGAAATTTAGTTTAAATTGAACTACTCAGTCAACAAACTGACTTTACTGTTTACATTGAGTAGTATGACATAGCTAATTGCTAAGCTTGTTAGACAAAAACATCATACTTTATTGGAAGAATTCAGGCAAATTTCAACTTACTTTCGGTCGATTTTTTGAAAAAGACAATTAAAGTACAAAGATATCTAAAAATAAATGATTTTTTTACACAAACCTTTAAAAAGAAAAATTAAGCTACCATCCGTTGTGGTAAAAAGCCCCCCACCCCGACAAAAAGCACAACAGAAAATCATACCGAAAACGATGAGCAAAGCGCACACCAAACCATCTCGAAGCAGCCTCATTTTGACAGATGTGAGTATGTGAACGCACAAACGGAGTTCTGGTGATGTTAAAGGAAACAAAATGTTTTCCAAATATATACCATAGATCACCGCTCCTTGTACCAAAGTAAGAGCTGTTACATGTTTGAGATCAAAGTCTAAAGACCACGTTTACAACTTAATTCCCATGTTTATCTGAATTACATTGTGAAGATAACAATGCAATTGAACATGAGTCGCAATACACTTAGATTATCAAGTGTGACATATATCATCTGGTGCGAGGTGAACCATAAACGGATTATATTGAATAAACAGGTGGGCGTTACATCAGTGTTTTATAATCAAGGCTCAAGTTCACTTACTCTACTAGAAGTGCCAGCAATAGCGTGATTTTTCACCATAGAATAATACAACTTTCTGCCGTATCAAAACTTCATTCTAAATAACGATGATAAAGATATTCTTTAGCCCAGAGTAAATAGTAAAAAAAACTATTTCAAATAATAGTGATACCCCAAATTATCTAACTAACATTGAATCGCGATTCGGCAGGCTAGGGAAATACTTTATTGTATAGTGGAAACAGATTTGTAACATATACCTATGCAACCTCTTACAAAGTAAATATACTTTGAAATTCAAACACTGAGAAAATATGGAATATTTAATTACTTAAAAGCATAATGCATCTTATATTTTAGAGACACAAATGATTTTCCCCCAAGTATCAATTAAATAATTGATATAAAATTAAGATAATTTCAAAAGAATTCCACGAAACATGGTGAAGTCGTGAACTTGCTTCTCTAATGTTTAATGGTAAATCGATATCTAAGGCTTACTTCTAATTTCCCGATTTACATGGTAGATGTCGACTGCATACTAAGAACACAGGGATCCAAGAGGACAAGTTTTAGTCTCGTCATTTTTAATTTTTGAGATATCACCGTAAAATTTATTATTTCGCGATATAAATGTCGAGATTTATTTTAATGATCATGAGCGTGCTATGATGTGTTGTTGTAACTACCCATTACCTTGATATACGATGCGAGTGTCGTTGAAATGTACCTGGCCTTTCGTCCTATGTTGTGAAGGGGTCTCATGTAAATCTTCTGTTATCAAACAGTATGCTATAAGGTGATCCACCATGACCTGAAATTTCATAGATATTCTCTTATGGCGTGGACCTTGATTATCACGTCTGTTTTTTTTTTTTTTATATTTCACAGAGTAGAAACTTGAAAGCCTGAATGAACTTTTTACCCTTACACACAGTGCGAAATTAATTATCTCCTTTATAAGAAATTAAATGATTTATTCCCCTTTATAAAAAAAATGACTGAGTGAACCGATCTCATTTACAAAAAATCCTAATATGGACAACAATTTTTTACCAAGTTGCACAAATGTTACGTAAATTATTTGAATATGATAGACTAACACAACAAATTCATTATGAAGTCCGAGGAGGATAGCAAAATCCTGTATGAAAATTTTGAGTCCAACTACCATCTGGATTATAAACAATCTTTCATGAAAACTCCATTCTATCGAGTGGTGACTTTCAACAGTATGGAGACAGGTAATAAGGGAAGGAACACCTCATATCGGTGTTGAAGGACAACAAGTATAAGTCGTTGGAGTAGAAAAGCTTCTCGGAGGTCTCAAGGTCTACCAGCAGGTGGCAGAAAAACCAACTGTAACATTTATACCGTTGTTGAGACGGCGATATCTCTCCACACCAGATTCAAAGAATATTGAAACACAAGGATAGCTTTCAATACAGTGGTAAGGAACATGTAAAACACTTGGGACACAGGAGACATTTACAATACACAAAAATACTGTCAAAGGAGCATACAACCCCAGGAAAAATACATGAGGACTTTGGAATCCAGTATCCTTTGTCATTCTGCAGCTATAGGCTCCCGACAATCTATTATAATAGTTTGTTCCTTAGTGAGTATTGTTAGTCACGTGCTATCCGGCATTGAATACCAATATGGATTGTGACTAATGACTAATTACCAATCATAAGGATACTGAAGTGGAATTTCTCGTGTGTGGACATGTTTGCTTTGTGACTGATAACCGTGTGGACATTTTCGCGTTGACCATGGTCCGAAATCTATTTATTTCATATATCTCTAATATATTCAATCTATGAATAAATATTCGCGTGTGGGTATTTTTGCGCTATTTTCCTCAATGTTTTTATCGTAACTCATGCACAAGATGGTGATCTTTATGGCAAGCCATCTTAACATTTATTCAAGGAGCAATGTCGGTCCTGTATTTCAAAAAAAAAGAAGAAGATATCTTATATAGCATATGAGATATCTTATATACTATATAAGATATCTTATATCGTATATAAGATATCTCATATAGTATATGAGATATCTTATATAGTATATGAGATATCTTATATAGAAATTAAATGAGATGCTATATAAGATATCTTATATGATATATAAGATATCTT